TCTCAGTAGGTAATGCCAGTGTTCTAGGCCTGTAAAAACGAAAATTATCTCTTTGCCAGATACACTTCCAATGTTATGCTTACCTCCTGACTGGAGCCAGATGAATCATGTGTCTGGGATTCGAATGAAGTACTGCCTTTTTCCATGCTTTGGTTGCCCTCGTTGTTCATGATATCAGACTCTGAGGGTTCCGTTTCAAGTTTGGGTGACACGGCATCACTGTTAATGGGTGAAGAAACTGTGTTTGTAACCTGTGAATGAATGCATCAAGATTTTAGAAAATGCATACAAATTTATGAGTCAAAACAGGGCATACAGGGAACAGAAGTGCTGTCACAATTCAAAACAAAACAAAAATTATCTCTTTGCCAGATACACTTCCAATGTTATGCTTACCTCCTGACTGGAGCCAGATGAATCATGTGTCTGGGATTCGAATGAAGTACTGCCTTTTTCCATGCTTTGGTTGCTATCGTTGTTCATGATATCAGACTCTGAGGGTTCCATTTCAAGTTTGGGTGACACGGCATCACTGTTAATGGGTGAGGAAACTGTGTTTGTAACCTGTGAATGAATGCATCAAGATTTTAGAAAATGCATACAAATTTATGAGTCAAATCAGGACATACAGGGAACAGAAGTGCTGTCACAATTGATCCAGGAAGCGGAAGAAGGGGATAACTCAGTTTTGGCCATTTTTCAGGAGAAACAAAAAACTGTTAGCAGGGAAAACTAAAACAAAACAAATGAATGTTGCAGATGTTAATAATTTCAAAAAGCATTAGTAAAATTTTGGAGAAAAATCAAAAGTGTAAGGTCACTCCGTAGAGGATTTCTGCGACTTATCACTTTCCGTTGAAATGGAAAACAGAGTCAGCTCACCTTATATTTCCTAAACAAAGTGGAATTTGGAGACAAGTCAAGTGGAACAATAGTCTACATAAAGAGTATGTTACTCTGGTGTATTTTTTGGACTTAGCTCTTTTTTCCAAATTGAAATTTAAAATTAAGGGGGGGTTAAGTTGAGTTGATTCTTTTTACACTAGATTCATAAAAACACAAGTTGAGTTATATCCTTTTGCCAATTTGTCAAACGGACTCATGTAGACTAAGGTTGAGTTATCTCCATTTTCCAATGAAATTTAGACTGTAAAAGGGGTTAAGTTGAGTTATACCCTTTTTCCATGTGGATTTTCTCCTAAACTGCTTGGAATTCAGTCAAATAATTTGGTCTAATGATGTAAACCATTCTAAGGCACAATAATAAAATAAAAACTCAACTTGGGGATAAGTCAAGTTATTCCCTTCTTCCGCTTCCTGGATCAATTCAAACAAAACAAAAATTATCTCTTTGCCAGATACACTTCCAATGTTATGCTTACCTCCTGACTGGAGCCAGATGAATCATGTGTCTGGGATTCGAATGAAGTACTGCCTTTTTCCATGCTTTGGTTGCCCTCGTTGTTCATGATATCAGACTCTGAGGGTTCCATTTCAAGTTTGGGTGACACGGCATCACTGTTAATGGGTGAAGAAACTGTGTTTGTAACCTGTGAATGAATGCATCAAGATTTTAGAAAATGCATACAAATTTATGAGTCAAATCAGGACATACAGGGAACAGAAGTGCTGTCACAATTCAAAACAAAACAAAAACTATCTCTTTGCTAGATACTTTTCTAATTTTATGCTTACCTCCTGACTGGAGCCAGATGAATCATGTGTCTGGGATTCAAATGACAGATTACTTTCCTCTATCGTTTGGTTGCTGCCTTTGCCCTTCTCGTCAGATTCTGAAGGTTCAAGCTTGCTTGTGCTGTGAGGATCATCTTCAGCCGAAATGTTTGCTTCAAGTTTTCCATCCTGCAATGTACACATTGTGATTACTTAGCATTGAAAATCAATTTGCATGTGATGTCCTTAACATGGTCAATGCTCGTACTACCTCAATGGGGCTAACGCTTTCTCTCAGATAATTAGGATCCAATTCTTCCTCAGAGTCATCTGACGAATGTCGTTTCCTTTTCCTCCATTTGGTAGTCCGGCTGTCACCCTGATATCGTCTCTTTGGTTCCATTTCTTCGGCAAGTAGAATTTCATTAAAATGAGGTCCAAAGCCACTTGCAATTACGAGTGACCAATTTGGTACGAAGGCGTGAATCCCATGAAATCCATGGTCAAAATTGCCAGTTGCTTACCTTGACATTACTAAATCATTTCAACAATGTTACAATACAATGTGCAAGGTTACATAATTTCACTTTCATTTCTCAAAATGCACTAACGAAGCGGCATTTCTTGTTCTCCTGAACGAAGAAACCTTGGTTGTCCACCGGGGTTCTGGATGTAAACAAACTGGCAGCGCCCGCTTCAAACATAATCCGAACCGAAGAACGTTTTCAAAATTGTTGTCAAGCCGTTCCCTCGTTTTTCGTTTTGTTGAGTCAAGTGAATGAATCTTTTTGAGAAAATCGAGAAAATGTCATTTAATCATTAAGGTGATTAAATTCAAATTACATTTTGGTCTGGATCATTAAATTGTTCGGCAAAATTTGAAAAACAGTTGACGATCAGGGTGCGGGTGCGTTTCGGCGGTTAACCGCCAACTGCCACGGCAAGCTCGAACGCGCCTCACCGCTTCGCTTGCATTCTGAACGTGAACGTTCTGGAAGAAAGAAGTAGGGGCCCAAGTTCTTTTTGTGAGGTTCTTTGTTTCTCGTGGATTCATGTTAGATGAGCATAGATAAAATGTTAGCTTTGGTGCACGATCTGTCGCGGCCTTCTGAAGATCCCAAAGTGCTGTTAACCTCTGAGTTGTGGCGCATCAAAGACGGCTACGAGTGCTTTGCGTTCAAGCCTTCATCAACTTTGAAATTTAACCGTCACGATGAGTTTGGAGTGGTCGACAAGAAAGCCAATCTCCTTGTGAAGCACACCATCCTGGCTCTAAGTAGTAAGTGAACTCAATCACCCTCCGACGCACTGTGAAACCAAGTGTGGACAACTCCGCACTTGAAACTTTAAACGCGGAGGTGTGGAATTTCCAGTCTCCACATTTGCAAGTGCAGAGCATGCAGTCTCCACGTTAGCGCCGTGCCAAGAGATGGGAGCTTTGCCAGTTTCTCCACACTTGTAGTGTGGAGACTTCAAACTCTGCATTTGCAAGTGTGGAGTTGTCCACACTTGGTTACAGTGCGGTCGAGCTCCACTTATCACACTGATATTGCTGATATTGTAGTCCAGCCAGAACTTCAAATAGATGTCATTTTGAAGACCCTGTGAGTGGGTGGTAAGATTCCGCTCAGTAACCAATATGTTCTTTGCAGACAATGTGGAGGAGTTGAATGCCATCAAGGAGAAAAGAGTGAAACCTCCCCCTCGTCTGTCGATCACTCCTGTGGCATTACCACTGGATTCCTTCAAATTTCCTAAAGTTTTGAAAGCAGCCAAGAAGGCGGCAAGTGATGCTAAGGTGGGCAGCAATATCGCTATCTGTTTGTGTGTTTCATCATTGAAGGGGTTTTAAAATCATGCTATTTGTTTTTTTTTTTCTCAGTCAGAGCAGGATACTGCATCAAAAACTGCGGCTTCTAACAATGGAAAGAAAATACTACAGAAATTCATGAAGGTCTCGAAGCAACAGGTAACGGTAATGAATAATTCTAGTCTTAAGTGTTCTCTATTGTCCAAATTTTCACCATCTGTTTTTCTTGTAGGTTATGACCAATGATGGACTAAAAGTCAATGGTAGCAAGACGCTTAAACGTAAAAAGAAGAAAGACAAGCTGAAGACAGTGGAGAATGGTGAAGGGGGCACTGGCATGATGGAGGACAATGCTGAAGGAGAGCAGGAAATGGTAGAGGAAGAAGAGAATCAAAATAACCCTGGCAAAAAAAACAAGTGGCAAAGTGGTGGTTAAGGGGCAGGTAAGTGGCATCAAGTGCAGAAGTGGCAGGGTGGCATTTAAATGGCAAGCAAATGGCAATGAAGGTGCATCAAAGGTTTTTCTTTTAAGTGGCACCAGGGTGGTATTGTAGTGGCATTAGAGTGGCTGCAAAGGGGGAAAGAAAGGTGCCATATCAAGTGGCATTGGAGTGGCATCAGAACGGCGTTAGGGTGTATGGGTGTCATGTAAAGAGGCATTAGAGTGGCTATGAAGAGATCAAGTGTTGCTGTCAAAGGGCAACATGGAATCACATCAAGTTAGCAATTCCATTACAATATTTTATTGACAAACAAGTTTTGCAGCAACACTGGTGACAACTTGAAAAACAATGGGACACAATATTTGAAATGTTCTTGAAATAGGTATTAACTAGTCTCCTACACAACCATA